CCTGAGACATGTTATACCTCAGTTCTTCAATCTGTGAAATTGAATAATGGTAGATTCCTAGCCCATAAGATCATTACAAGAATTGAGGAGACAACACATCTACAACAGGTAAAATAGTAGCTGGCAAAAAAAAATATTAGGACTATTAAAAATATCAGAGATTTTTAAAAAGGCTTCTCAAAAGGAATATCCAAGAACAGGAACTTAGATAATGAGAAGGCTGAAATAGATCTATTCTGTCCACTTTTGAGGAATTCCACATTGAAATCTAAAGTGATTTCTTGGACATGCCAAACTTCAACATTCAACTTTTCATTTATAAGTTCATTTTCCCTAGTTTTCTTCTTATCTTGTCACTTGTGTGATTTTCTCTTAAATCTGGAAACTTGTATCTCACCCTATGTAATATCACCTGGATTCCAAAGAGAGAGCATTGTCCTTTGGGGAAATCACATGACGGGGCTCCAATTTTAGCTTTTCTACCCTTGATTATAAAAATTGATAAAGACATTTTACCCTGGAAACTTCTATTTCCTTCCCTAGAAAGCAAAAGACTTAAATTATCTTTGTGGTTTCTTCCAGCTTTAAAATGTAATATCTTGGAACTTATTTATATATTCTCCAACAGCATTGATAAAACAATCAATCTTACTGGACCACCATATACAGCTTTCTTCAAAGCTGCTCTCTTTGAATATATTTAACTTAGTTATCCAACTCCTATTACTTTTCATTTCACCCACAAGTCCAAGTAATGTCACCAATGCTTTGTTGAAGTCATGGTCCTCCTAGCTACAATTCTTGCCTAAATGGTTCAATGAATGTTGAAAAGAAGTCTTTCTGAAAGAATTCACTCTCAGTGAACCCATGCTGACTCCTAAAAATTGCCTGATTCATTTCTAAGTGTTTATATGCTCTCTCTTAGAAAATTCAGTGCTAGGAAAACATATCATGCTTGTTGACTTACACTTATTCTTGATTTATATTTTCTTAGTTTTCCCTTCTTCACCCCCTTTTATCCTCAGTCATCCCGTCATTGATTTCTCAATGACTGTTTATAATGATTCCATGATTTAACCTAAAATTTCTTCCAAAACTCCTTGCTAAAGACAAACACAATATGATTAGGAACTTTTCTTGTGGTTTTTCTCCTACCTTAGTGTGAGTTAGCCTTTTCATATTATTTATGTTACTATTTCTATGTTAGATTCATCCTTAATGGGGAGAATGAGAAAGCAAGAGGGTCTGAACAGTGACTTTCTTTTACTGATATAGAATCAACTTTCCTATCCATTAGTTCTATTTCTTCCTACACATATTCTTCTGAAACATAATTTCAAAATCTAATGACAACAACAAAAAAAAATTTGTTCCATTTCCACATTCTATGCTTTTGTGCCTCTCTTTCTCACAGGTTTATGCTGGTCTTTTATATTGTGTATGGGGATGACCCCAACATATCTACCATCTCCAGTCACTAGTTGTTTTCACAATCAAATGTCCCAGTGCAAGCCAACAACCCAGCTGATTTTTTGGAGTTCTTATCCTCTATGTCTTGTTAAAACTATTCTCTATTATATGAATTATTTTTTAAATCTTCCTCTCTCTTATGCTATATTCGTTTTTAGAATCTGTGTCTATATGAAGCATATCTCTTCTTTTAAAATGCTTTTTTTCTAAAACAGCTATAACTAGATCCTGGTTTTCCTTCCTCCTCTCCTACTAATAATAACATGTTGGGTAACTTTCTTTCAAGATTTCACATTACTTCCCTATCATAAAATGATTCTTCCTTTACCATTCAAAGTAATGTCCAATGTGTAGGAGTTTCCCTTACTTCTTCATGCTTTCTCAAAGAAACCATATGGACAGTAAGCAAGTTATGAATGTTTTAAATGCTCAACTTTTAGACAAATAGAACAGAGGACTCAGCTGACAACTACCTGGACACCCCCTCCCAAACCTAATTTAAAATTTTACATTAAAAAGAAAGCTCCTACTAATAGCAGTTAAGCAATTTGTGGTATGTATAATGACATTGCTCTCCTGTTCTTCCCACCTGCCTGTCTTTCTGGGCTTTAAGTCTCAGGTTATGGTCACACAGTATAGGGACGAGAAAAAAATTGTAAAGGGATGACTATGGTACTTGAAGTCAAAAGAATTGGTTTTACATCTTAATCTGCTTCCATATTCTAGCCAAACAACTATGAACATGTTTCCTCACCTTGTAGAACTCAGTTTTTACATATTAAAATAGAGATAATAATATCCACCACAAAGGGATGTTATAAATATCAAAGAAGACAATATATACACATACTCAATACATTGGTAACTGGTTTTACAACAGAACAAACACATTTTTAAAATGTACTAAAGAACTATGAACATTCATCTTCTCTAGAAATCAGGTTGGTATGGGTGAGGGAGGGGAAGGAAGGAAAGAAAATAGATTAATGATCTACTGCCTTCTGTAGTATTTATTTTTAAATTAATCATGTTTATTCTTATAATCTAAAGAAATTAATTTTAAAAGGAACAACTCACTATGATAAAAGTAGTTCTATGCTGCTTTGCTTGATTATTTATTTGTATTAAATGTATTTTTAATGTAAGTCTGAATATCATAACTTTGAACTATGTTATTGACCCATGTTATTCATATAGGTGATCCAATTGAAATTATACATATTTATTAGAGTTCCATCTTAATGTTTCAATTCACCAAACATGCCTTCTTTTCCTAGAGTTGGTTGTAGTCTCCTCATTAAACACACATGCACAAAGTTATATATAACTTTCCCAATGATGGCAATAATTGCTGTTTTATTCTAGCCCACAGTCTTCCTATACAGGCTTCAGTTCATTGTGCACTTTTCAATGTTGTCATTATATCTCAAGTTCATTGTCAAACTCATTTTCCTGTGTAGTCTTCCTTGATTGTGAATTGTTCTTAGAAGTCCCAGAGAAGTAGACATGAAGTCATAGTATTCTAGCAGTCAAAAGACATGTTTTCTTTATCAACTTCATTACTCCAGACTTTCTGAGAGAAGAAAGTTCCAGCCATTTAGAATCTTTCCACTGTGGTTCCTACCTGTCAGAAAATAATGTCTCTGTGTATTTTATATTCTGTCTCCCTAAAAAGTTCAGTTCCTGATGAATATACTTCAAGATGAATAAAGTACCTGTATTGCATTAAGAGATGGTCTCTCCAGTGCTACCGAGAGAGTCCATAATCAAGTCAAATCTCTGCACAGATAGGGCTTTATCACCAAGCCTGCCAAAGTGGCACATTAATCCAATGGCAGCCAGGTACTCATTCTAGAATAAATGTTAGTACTGTCACAGTGCCACCTGCCACTTCAATCAGACTGAGTAAATAAGTAATACTACTGTTTTCAAATGAGTCAGTATAGGTCATTTTTTTTCCCAGATTGTAAGAAAAGAATAAATACATGGCATACTAGGTTTCGTCCACCCATTCACCTCCATTCTCCCAAATTTTCCCATATTCTGAAATGCCAAATGCAAAAAAAAATTTGAATTCTAATTTTTCATTATGTTGTGTGTCAAGCCCTCGATTGTCTGGGTATTCAATCTGTGGTTAAGTAAGAAATACCAGGATTTGAAAAGATACGGAAAACATTTTGATAGCTCTGGGCTATATCAAGTGTTAGTTTTAATAGCAGGCCAGATCTTCAATAACATGCTGTGTAGCTATGTATGAACTTGGTTGCTGGTTTCCTTTGTCACATGAAATGATGATTAATCAGGACTCAGATGTCAGTTGTTTTATGTTGCTTGTGCTCTTTGCTAACAGCTGCCTATTTCAAGCTGTGCTCCCTACATGTCAAATATAAATGTGAAACCACAATTTCCAGAAGGAAAATTTGAAAGCACTCATTTCAATGCACTTAAAGTACATTAAAATATTCAAGTTGTTTCTGATTAACGTCCACTTAGAATATTATATAATTTAACTAAAGTCAGTATAGAAACAAAAGTTTTCAGAAGACTGGGAGAATAAAAACACATTATTATTTTGTATTCATAACTACATATTTCTATAAAAGCTCTATGCAACCCTCCTCATTAAACTAGTGTCACTTTCCTTTTCATTTTTACAATTAATACATAAAAATACTGTTGACAGCTGATTTTTAAGATACTTAAATTTTGATTCAGAATAAGCTTTAAACATTTTAAAGAAGGGGGTTCATTTTTGACAATGTCCTCAATGCTTCTTTGATTTATAATTTTAAAAATACTGCAAGAATAGCATATTTGTATGTTTTCCCTTCACATAGTCCAAACGGAATCAATTTTTAAGAAAATGAAAACAGAAGAAGTTGGTCAAGTTTTTCAAAAGTTTAGAACAGTGTATGCCTAAGTTTTTGAGTGGACCAAATAGAATTTCAGTAGAATTGATTTTTTTTTCTTTTGCTTAACCTAGATAATAAATGTCTAATTTGGACTGTCCATGTGGCACATAGTTCCCAAATTAAACTCTTTCAGAGTCTGCCGTTTTTAGCAAAAGAGGGGGAAGTGAGAATTAAACACCCTGGCTCTTTCTATACAACTGCAGCCAAGTTGTCTAAAAACTGAATTTGGCCAATTCACTGTAGTTCATTGTTTGAGCTCTAGCAGGACCCCAGAAACTTATAACAACCACACTGACGACATCTGAACAGATTTTCCTAGTCTAGGGTTTACCATAGTCTAGAAAATTCTACCAGGTGGTGCCCTTCTCATTTAGCACTATGCACTTTCCCAGAGCAAACACTACCTGCTTTGGATCACCTTCCTAAATATCCAAGTAGAGTATCCAGGCAAGGGTCTAATATACTCTCAAGAACTGACAAAAAAAAAAAAAAAGTGTGCTGATTTAGAGATGAAAGGGTACTGGTCAAAGGTAAGGCAGGTGTTATCAGTTTTCATGTTCATTCATTTAATTTCCTCGAAGTTTTAAAGAAAGAACTCCCTCTCTCTCCTTCTCCCAGGTGGCAAACCTGCTGAGGCTCTTCCAGATCCCTCAGATAAGCTATGCGTCCACCAGTGCCAAACTCAGCGACAAATCGCGCTATGATTACTTTGCCAGGACCGTGCCCCCCGACTTCTACCAGGCCAAAGCCATGGCCGAGATCTTGCGCTTCTTCAACTGGACCTACGTGTCTACTGTGGCCTCTGAGGGCGACTACGGAGAGACTGGGATTGAGGCCTTTGAGCAAGAAGCCCGCCTGCGCAATATCTGCATTGCGACCTCAGAGAAGGTGGGCCGCTCCAACATCCGCAAGTCCTACGACAGTGTGATACGCGAGCTGCTGCAGAAGCCCAATGCGCGAGTAGTGGTCCTCTTCATGCGCAGTGACGATTCACGCGAGCTCATCGCCGCAGCCAGCCGCATCAATGCTTCCTTCACCTGGGTAGCCAGCGATGGCTGGGGCGCACAGGAAAGCATTGTCAAAGGCAGCGAGCATGTGGCATATGGTGCCATCACTCTGGAGTTGGCCTCGCATCCTGTCCGCCAGTTCGACCGCTATTTCCAGAGCCTCAACCCTTACAACAATCATCGCAATCCCTGGTTTCGGGATTTCTGGGAACAGAAGTTCCAGTGTAGCCTCCAGAACAAGAGAAACCACCGGCGGGTTTGCGACAAGCACCTGGCCATTGACAGCAGCAACTATGAGCAAGAATCCAAGATCATGTTTGTGGTGAATGCTGTCTATGCCATGGCCCATGCCCTGCACAAAATGCAGCGCACCCTCTGTCCTAACACTACCAAGCTCTGTGATGCAATGAAGATCCTGGATGGAAAGAAGCTGTACAAGGATTACTTGCTGAAAATCAATTTCACAGGTAAGCAAGGCGCCTTTAATCATCTTCTATGGTGCAAACAGGTGGAATCATTCAGGAACTGAATACCTCTGTCCCCAACCAGAAATCCTTGTTTCAGAGCCACAAAAGTTTAAACTGTTGAACATATATTCAAGGTACAAAAAGAAGGCTTTTTGAGTTTTTTACTTATTTTTAAGTAATCTTAGTTGATTTAGTATATGAGAATCAAAGGCCTCCTAGGCTGATGGCCCCACTGTGGTAGCTACCCAGATGTGGGCCATGCTACATTTGCTCTTTCTCATTGTTAGCTGCAGGATATGACACATGTGACATGGCCATTTAATCTCCTTTAACAAAATTGGCAACTGTCTAAGGAACATGAACTTCCAAGCCTTCCTTGTGGGAGATTGAGCAAAAGAATCTCATAACTTTCACAGTGGGTGAAAGAGAAAAAAAGTCACTTTTCCCAGTGCTTAATTAAGGGCAAAACTGAAAAGATACCCAGACATTGTAGTTTATTTCTTCTGTTATACAGAAAACTTTTCCTATGGGTTTTAAGAATTGTGGTTTTTCTTGAATTATGGTGTTCAGTGAAACTTTTTCTGAGAGTCTTAATATATATAATCAAATTGAAGATTAATGGAAGTCATTTTGATCAGTAGTGACCATGCAAAGTATATTCTAAGATATTTTTGCTGCCTCTTCATTTATTTCTAAATATGTCTGAATATTTCTAAATATAGTCATTTGTTTTGTTATCTATCTATCTATCTATCTATCTATCTATCTATCTATCTATCTATTTATACTGGGGATTGAACACAGGGGTGTTTTGCCACTGGGATACATCCCCAGACCTTTTTACTTTTTAAGACAGGGTCTTGCTAAGTTGTTTGGCCTCACTAAATTGCTGAGGCTGGCCTTGAACTTGTAATCCTCCAGCTTTAGCTTCCCAAATTGCTGAGATTACAGGCATACACCACTCTACCCAGCTGTATTTTATTTTAATGCATCTTTAACATATAAAAGAAAAATCTTTAGGTTTGCATTCTGTACTAAGACATCACTTCATCAAGTGACTAGTTCTGGGAACTCAGGCTTAATGCAAATCATAAAATGGTAATTAATATTAGACACAAACAATTTTGATGCCGAAACATTACAATCATACAATACTTGCATTTGCCTAAATTGCTATAATCTTTCATGCTTTAGGGCATCATTCAAGACTACATAGTCTTTATCAATTTATTTATCATCTAAGACCTGAAAATTTATACACATATATGTTACTATCATTGAAGCAACTGGAAGGTGTCACATCCATATTAAAGGTGATGCCTCAGAAGTACAGTGGTCTGGGCTGGGGTTGTGGCTCTGCAGTAGAGTGCTTGCCTAGCGTATGTGAGGTGCTGGGTTTAATCCTCAGCACCACATAAAAATAAATAAATAAAATAAAGGTATTATGCCCAACTACAACCAAAAATATAAAAATTTAAAAAATAAAGAAGTACAGTGGTCTGCAAAAATTGCTGGCAGTAGGCAAGAGAAGTCTGTGAACATTAGCTCCTATTCTGGAATTCTCACCCACAGGCAGCCTTGAAAATAAGCACAAATAATGCCATCATGCATTTTTTGTGTTACTTGTCTTCTTCACTCTCCCCAAAAGGAGACAAAAGCAATATAAATCCTTACTGTCACTCTTCCCTCTTATTCATCTGATAGAAATAACCTCTTACCATTAGAATGATTATTAAAAGTGGTCATAAATTTTTGCATTCTGCATTCTCACATGTCTGTTGATTCATATACAAACAATAACATATATACACATATAAATATAAACAGAACTAAATAAACATTCATCTCAAAATTCCAGATCCCTTCTGATTGACATATCCAGAAGATAAATGAATCATAGAGTCATTAAAAAAGAATTCCTTTACTCTAAAACTAAATGAACTCTGGGTTATCCAAAATTAGCATCTACAATGCATTTAATTCTTAAGATAATTCAACACATAACACCTTCAAACTACTCTTGGGATAACCATTTATCTTTATTCACCACATTTATTAATTAACTTTGTTTTTCTAGTTTGCTTATTAATCCTTTGATGAAAATATACAAATATATCCACTTATCAACACGAAAGCTAAAGATTTCAGAGAGCCTTTGCAAGGTGATTTATGTAACCAAAACATTTTCCTTCATCTGACTGCTTGGGTTTTAAAAGCCAAAGAAAAGTGAAGAAATAATGCCATTATTAAGATAAATGAAACAAAAGTATCTTCTTTTTTGTCTCTCTTGTTCAATTACTAGCTCTAGTTCAACAACTCAGTTTGGCTATGCATACCTGACTACAAAGTGCTGCTTTAACCTTCTCAATTTGCCATACATTATCAGTCCCTCTCCGTCTCTGAAGAGAGCAGCAAGATGAAAAGCAGGTTTAAACTATAGAAAATAGAGGAAATGTATATTGGCCACAAGGTGAATATGCTTAGCAATGAGAATTAGACAAGACGATGCATAACTAATGGGAGGGTACCAAGATATTAAAAGTAGTACATTTTTTTAAAGGTAAAGATTGACTGTAAGAACCTAGTACTTTACTAGGAGGTATATAAATAGAAGAGAATGGAGATTATAGAATGACATTTGAGTTCATAGTAACCTGTATATGACTAAATATATACATATTTTTAAATTTAGATATAGATTAAAGATCATAAGCATAAATGTCATATTACTGACTTATGATTGAAAAGGTATCAAGTTTTTTTTCTTTGTCAGCTATTGCAAAACAGGTGCTTGTCATTTTTTATGATATATTATCTCTATTTTTCTAATTTGAATATTGATGCAATGGACTAGGCACATAGTAAACACTTAGCAGACACTAAATCTGCTCAGTTGGGCCAAAAAAAATGTTCTTTCCAAATGCATTTACTCCAAGATTCTTCTGAAAAGGGATAGTGGTAACCAATTCTCTAATAACTCTCACCTTTACAGGATGAAAAAGCTAGGCCTCCTTAGTATTTTAACCACAGAGTTTAAAATATTCTCTGATGTTTGGTGCTTTCTTACTAGGTAATACAAGCATTGATCAACATGAGTTTTGTTTAAAGTTAACACAGTTTGAATATTCCTTTTGCAAAATAGATTTTGAAGAGCTATGCCTTATTAAATTTCTTCTAAATAGTGAGCTTTCTGACATGGGTTGGATCCCATGTATATCCCACATTCACCCTTCTTTCCACTGAAACTACATGCAGTTCCCCCAGATATCTTATGCCTTTGTTTTGCCTTCGTACCATCTGAACATATCAGTTCTTCCACCTAGAACACTCTCCCCCTGCCCCCATCTGCCGTATCTGCCTCTATTCCTATGTGTCTTCAATAGTCAATTTACTTGATATTTGCTAAGGAAACTTAACTTGAACTTCTAAACTGAACTAAGTGCCCCTCCTCATTTTCCCGCATTGTTCTGGCATTTTGCTTTCCCTCATACCTTCCATCCAATCTGCCAAAATATCCTGTTGGCTCCACCTTCAACATGGATCCAGGATCTGATCGCTTCTCATCATCGCAATGGCTACGACCACCACCAAGGTCCCAGCCACCAACACCTCTAGTCTACATTCGGTATTATCCTTCCAATTAAGCCTACCTCCAACCAGCCTCCACAATCTATTCTCAACCTGACAGCCAGAATGCCCTTTAAAAATGTAAGGCACAGCAAGTCTCTCCTGTGCTCACACCCTCCAAGGACTTCTCTCGGGCTTCACATGATCCGTCAGGCCTGAGAGGTCCTGCTGGACCTGCCCCCGCCCCTCAGCTCTGTTGGTGTCCCTCAAGCTCCCTCTTTCTCACTGCACACCATCAAGCACTGTTTGTACCCCAGGGCTTTTTTTTTTTTTCCAGCCAGTTCTCTGACTATAGTGCTCTTCCTCACATATCCCTGGGCTAATCAGCTCCCTTGCTTGCCTCATGTCTTCATTTATATATTACCTCCTCTGAAAGAAAACCCCAGGGTGTCCCTCCCACCCTGACGCCCACCACAGTTGCCCCCTTTTCCCTTTAACCTGCTCTTCTTTCTTTTGATCTCATGTTTTTTTTTCATCTCCTGCTACACACATCATTTATTACTTTAGTGTTTATTCTTTATTGTTTGATCCTCACACTAGCATTTTGGCTTCAGGAAAACAGAAGTCATTACTGATTTTGTTCACTTGTGTGTTCCCAGCATAATAGGTGCTTAGTAAATATTTATTTACTATGAACAGCATTTCACAACCAAACTAGGATTTTTATTCTCATCTCTCTTGCCAGAACTGTGAGCTCTTCCAAGGGACAGAACATATATATCATCTCTTATCTCAAATACCTAATAGTTTCGGGGATAGAAGAGGCATTATATAAATGTTTACTGAAGGAATGAGGAATGAAAAAAAAGCAATCAACAGATTTATAAGGTGATTCTTTCATGAAAATTTAATGTATATGTTTTATTTATTAACAAGTGAATTTCAAGAAAGAAAAGTGTACTATATGACTTCTGAAATGGCTTTCTTTTACCTAAGCACTCTCTTTCAGTTATGTTCTATCATTTCCTTTGAGATAAATGTAAAACCAAATACCATTAGAGCTTGAAGATATTCATCACCATCTTGTAGAGGAAACTCCCCAAAATGAAACCCATTTTCCTATGGTCATACATCAGTTTAATGGCAGGGCCATGATTGAAATCTAGTTTACTAAATCTAGTGTTGCTTTTAGACATACACAAAGGCTCTGGGGATAGGATGTCTTTGATGTCAAACACTGAACTGAACACAACTTCTGGCACATACTAGATATTAAGGAAATGCTTATCAAAAGGTTTAAGATATGCTTCTTTTTGTGTTCCATTTTATTATCCCTTCAATGCTCCTGGGCCACTTGCTCAACTAATTGGAGAAAAGTGGTGTATCCAACACTCGAACTTTGGAAGGTGGAACTTAAATCCCAAACCTTAGAA